CCTGACGGGGAAATCCCTCATTTCTTCATTAACTTCCAGGTTACTCCCTGCCCATTAATGCGGAGCTGGAGAAGCAGGGCGCACAGGACCTTACAACAGGGACCGGGAGCAGCAGCTCGGAGATTCAGCCCAACTTTGGCTTCCTTGTCCCATGGCCAGCATCAGGGAGGGAGGAAGAGGACAGGGACAACCATCAGCAGGGCCCCCGTAAGCGCACACACTTCTCATGCAGGACTCCTCTGACCACCACAGGGGGTAAGGCCAGGCTCACGGCCACACAGTGGTTGAGCCAGAAGAGCAGTGTTTTTGCTTTTTCATCTAACAGTGGCACCATCTATACAAAATTTTGGGCAGGAGGGGCAATGCATCTATCGGAACTCACTGGTGACAGGAGCAGCAGGAGCTAAATTGGCTGAGCTGAACCAGGCTGTTACTTCCTAGCTGTGTGACCTTAGGGAAATCACCCAACTTCTTTGTGCCAACAATTGTGCCTAACTCACAGGATTCATTTAAGGAGTAAATAAGTTGATAAATATCAAGTGATTAAAATCCTACCTGGCACATCCATAGCAAGGACTCTATATATGCTAGATATTATGTTTGTTGTTGTTAAGCCTCATGAAGGCAGGAGTCTTTGTCTATTTTGGTTACTGGCCTGTGTTAGAACAGTGCCTCATCTTAATAGGCGTTCTATAAACAGTTGTTGGGTGAATAAATCAATTTTCAAGGTAAAACTCTTTCGCAATGCAGCCATTGTTTATCTTGGCCAGCAGAGGGCAGCAAATGGCTGTGACTGATTAACTGTGGGCAAAGGTGGTTTTAATTTTGAAAGCTACCAGAGGGGTCCCTCCTGAGCCAGTTCGGGGAATACAAGGTTGCCATGCACCTGTCCAACTGCCCCGATCCCTCCCACCCACCTTTGTGCAGGTTAGAATGATTGTCAGGCATTCAACTCACAAAAAAATCTTGGTTCCATTCCTTCTCAACTTTCAATTTCCTTCCTTCCTCCCTCCCTTCCACTATCCCTGCTTTTCCTCCCCTCTCCTTGTTCTCTGATCTGCTTCCCCCCACCCCCCCCACTCACTCCTCTGCATCAAGCTGGTGTACTGTACTTACTCCCAAATTTTATCTGTACAATTGCAGCTTGTACTGCAAACCATGACGTCTAGAGTAAATCCTTACACAATATTCTTCCCAACCAATAAATGCTGTTAAATGTAGCATACTTTTTAAAAAACATGTGATTTGAAAACTCTAGACCCAGAGAGGTACTATAGTTTGGCCAAGGACACACAGCAGCAATTAGGGGTAATGTTAGAGCCGTAGCCTCGGCCTTCCGCTGTCCATTACATAGCCCCATCACACACACTCTTTTGCCAGAAGGAGGCTCATGGGGTCCCTGTTTGCCATCCAGTCAATGCAGCCATCAGCTTCTGGCCCCAGACCCCTTTCCCCTGCACTGTGGCACAGAGGAGCAGACTGCTTTGGAGGGCAGCTCCCTGGAGGCTCCAGGGACCCTGGCCAGGCGGCCACTGCCACTAATTTCTTTCTTCCTCAGCTCACTCTGCGGCGCCCCTGCCTGCGGCTCGGGTGTTTGCTGTGCTGCAGTGCAAGTTCATCCTCCCCCGATGGCGCACTTCACTGTCACGGGCAGGACCCTCACTGTCAGTCCGAGGTGAGTTCCTGAGGAGCCTCTGGGTCTTGATGGAACGGCTTGTGGATGGAACGGCTCCAACACCCAAGCCTCACCACTGCTCCAGGGGTCACCCAGCGAAATGATCTCCCCAGCTTGCTAGATCCTGTCTTTCCTTCCCAATTATGGTCCAAAAAGTCACACTGGGATAACCAACCTGGAAAAAAATATTTAATTGATCTCCCAACTGGAAAACAAATTCTTTATGAATTGATGAGTTAAAAAACTTAAAAAGGGAATTTTTTTAAACTAGAAAAAATATGGGTGATTTCTTATCTTTATTATCTCAGGGAATATTTCTTTAAGCATGAAAGCAAAACCAGAAATTATAAAAGAAAAAATTTACAGGTTGACTACCTAGAAATTAAAAAGTTCTATATCCTGGTAAACATCTAAATCAGAATTAAAAGCAAATGACAAATGGAGAAAAGTTTAGCTACACATGGAACAGACAAAGGATGAAAATAGTAAATCAGAGTCTCAGAGGAAAATGGATAAATAATCTGAACTGACAGCTTAATATGAAGTCATAGGAATATGAAGCATGCTCCATGTTACTGGTAATGAAGTAAATGCAAATTCAATTTCTGCATCTTGAAGTTGCAAATTTCAAAACTACATAGTGTCAGTGGGGATGCAGGGCCACAGGCTGTCATTCTGCTGTTGGCGCAGTTCTGGAGGGCTTTAGATGCTTACAGGTATCCATGGTAATGCTTTCCTGTGTGGCCTTTGTCACTATTGATGTATTTATTACCTATTGCCTCCTTCTTCCTGCCTTCCTTTACCAGGCCAATATACTTCATGATGTTAGGGACATTGTTTACTGATCTGCCCCAAATGATTAGAAGAGCACCTGGCCAGGCAGGGCACAGTGACTCACGCCTGTAATCCCAGCACTTTGGGAGGCTGAGGTGGGCGAATCAGGAGGGCAGGAGTTCAAGACCAGCCTGGTCAACATGGTGAAACCCTGTCTCTACTAAAAATACAAGAAATTAGCTGGGCGTGGTGGCGGGTGCCTGTAATCCCAGCTACTCAGGAGGTTGAGGCAGGAGAATTGCTTGAACCTGGGAGGCAGAGATTGCAGTGAGCCAAGATCATGCCATTGCACTCCAGCCTGGGCAACAGTGTGAGACTCCATCTCAAAAAAAAAAAAAGAATAGCACCCAGCGCCAAATTAGATGTTCAACATATGCTTATTGAATGAATAATTGATCTTTAACCCGGTAACTCTTAGGAACTGATACTAAGGCAACAATGAGTGATGTCCAAAAAAGATTTATATCCAAGGGTGTTCATTTCAATATATATTGTAGATGAACTTTGCAAACCACTGAAATGTCCAGTAATAGGGGATTAGCAAAAATTGTGACACATCCTTAATAGGCATGATAATAGTAAAGTCATTAAAATCATGTTAGAGAAGACAACATAACATACAAAGATTTCCTAGATATAATATACTGTGAAAAGGGCAGGAATTATATATATGTATATATATATAATTATATATTATATTGTATAGATATGTATATATTATATATGTATATATAATTATATAAATATATAGATATAATTCCTAATTCCTGTCCAGGAATTCATTTTCTATGTATAATACAATCTTAATTTATATAAATCTGCATATATGTATGGAATAACTTGTGTAAGAGCATACTGACATTTGAACAGTATTTATCTTTGGATAGAGTAGTTGTAAAAAGTTTACAAGTTTTTCTTTACTCTTTAATGTATTTTTGCAACGTTTCTGCAATAAGACCATTTTGTTTTTGAGACTGGATTAAAAACAGTGTAGCAGAGGCAATGGATGCCTCACCTGTATTCCTCAAGCTGGCCCTAGTTCCAAGCAGCTAAGCGCCTGGGGATGGCTCTCTACCTTCAAAGGGTGGGAGTGAGTGGCTCTCTCTCACAGCTGCCTCCACCCCAGGGGCAACTCGGCAGCGTGTTCCTCACAGCTTGGTAGAGGCTCCTGGCAGAGGACCTTGGTGGCTGTTCTTTGTGTTCCCTTCTTCTCAGCCTCACTTCTCCATGCCACCTCAGTGCTTCCTGGCGTCACCTTTTAAGCTAGCTACTTGCACACAAATCCTTGTCCCAGAGTCTGCTTTTAGGAGGAGCCCAGGCTAAAAGGCACAAATGCCGTTTTTAAAATTCTGCTCACTCTGTGTAAAGAAAGTTAGCCAAGCACGGTGCTGTGGAAAGAGCTCCTGTCGTGGCTGTTCCTGTCTGTAGTTCACTTTCAATCTCTCAGCATCCCTGAGCTGAAGAGAGATCTGACTTAACTGGGAGGGAAGACCAAAGGGTTTCTGGACACAGGAGCCACTCTGGGGAGCTTAGAGCCTCAGAAGAGGCAAAGATGTAAGTTATGAGAAGGGGTTGTGCAAATAATAAATGAAATCAACAAACCAACCCTGTGATGCCAGCACATTGCTCACAGCCGACCGGCATCAAGTGCCTACCACTGCCACAGGATGCCATTAACACCTACTCTCCTTTATGAGGCTTAGAATCAGGGCTGCTGAGGACTTCAGAAATCATCTCCTTCAGGTGGGGTAGAGGAGATGAGTAGGCTTCCTGAGGGTCCCAGAGCAAGAGTTAGAGGCAGAGCCAGGACCAGAACTTAACTGAAAAGCAGTAACCCAAGGTCTGACTTGTGTTCTGAGGATTTGCTCAGTGATGGATGTCATTCTCGATTTGACCAGAAGAGGGCAGACACTTGCCATTCATGGAGGTGAAGAGCTTGTTTTTAAGGCTGGACTAACATCTCCCAATAAGGTCATTCGGTTCTAGTGAGAGTTGCAGCTCACAACATTCTTTTCTCTTCTGCTGTGAATATGCTAATGAAAAGACACTGAAATTCAGAGGCTGAAGTTCCTTTAGTTCCAACCCTGGCACTGTGATAGGTGACCTTGCATAGGTCACTTCACCTCTGAGTCTGACTTCTTTACTCATGAAGTAAGATCTCTACTCTGGGCTGGAAATGGTGACTCACACCTGTACACCCAGCACTTTGGGAGGCCGAGGCGGGTGGATCACTTGAGGTCAGGAGTTTGAAACCAGCCTGTCCAACATGGCGAAACCCTGTCTCTACTTAAAATACAAAATTAGCCGGGCATGTTGGTGCATGCCTGTAATCCCAGCTACTCAGGAGGCTGAGTCAGGAGAATTGCTTGAACTTGGGAGGCGGAGGTTGTAGTGAGCCAAGATCATGGCACTGCACTCCAGGCTGGGCAACAAGGGCAAAACTCAAGAAAGAAAGAAAGAGAGAAAGAGACAAAGAGAGAGAGAGAGAGAGAGGAGAGAGAGAGAGAGAGAGAAAAAAGAAAAAAAAGAAAGAAAGAAAAAAAAAGAAAAGAAAGAAAGAAAGATCTCTACTCTGTGACTGAGAATGTGGCATTAGGGGGAAATATGTAATTTACAAAGTTACATATTACAACACACATCCCTGCTGCTAAATTCTGTGTGTGTGTGTGTGTGTGTGTGTGTGTGTGTGTGTGTGTGTGTATGCTCATGATGGAGAGAGCTGGACAAAGGAGAGAGGCCTTGGCCAAAGGAGGTTTTTCTGGTCTCAGGTGAATATATATATTTGTAAATTCTCCAGCAATTGAAACGAATCCACTTTGTACTCGGAAAAGACTTAACCACTTTTACTTCTGTTTCAAACTGTACTTTTTTAAAAGCTAAAGACATCCCTTAACCTGTGTGTATGAGAAAAGTAAAATATAACAGGGATATATGTAAAGTTCTACCATTAAGTTAAAAATATTGCTGAATACAGAGAAGGTATTGGTAATACCAATTTTTAAAACTAAGGATTTTACTGGTTACTTGGTCATGAGAAGGAAAAAAGTGAGAAGTATTTTTTTTTAAATCCTGTAGCATTTTCCTAGGACATCAAGCCCTAGCACAGGAAGGGACATTTTCACGCTAATCTGTGCCAGCTGGAGCAGTCCTGCCATCTGATTATCATATTTTGGAACACTGGGAAGCTAGGATGCAGTTAACAGGTAAGTTGTAATGGGAGAACCTTCTAGAAACCATGTCTGGAGACAGGGTTCAGGAACCGAGATGCTGAGCCTGGGGAGGGGAAAGGAAGACTTGAGTGGGGCAGGCCCTACAAAAAGGGATTCCATCAATCCAAATAAGTAAAAGCCACAAAGAAAAAGTCTGGTCTCAATAGCAAAGGGAATTCTTTTCTGAGAGGTCAGTGTTGTCACAGGAGACAGAACATTCTGAAAACTTCAAGACATGCTTAGAAGGCCCCTCAATGTCAGTGGAAAAGGGGCTGCAGATGTTATCTAAGAAACCAAGTTATCTCTGTACAACAAAATCATGTATCAAAACGCAATGGAGAGAGAGCCTGCAGAAGTGAGAGGTTCCCGGAACACTACAGGAAATGGGACCTTGAAATACAGAAGACAAAGTACAGGCTCATGAATGTCTGGACAACATACCAGCAAGTTGAGCCTGACCAACCGCACTGACATCCTGATGTGTTGGCTTGACTCAAGAAGATGGGTTCCAAGTAATTCAGGGTCACACAGCAGAGAGAGATGGGGATTAGTCAAGGGTGTTCACTCGCTCACTCACCAACTATCCCGATTGAATTCCCACACTACACTAGGCACTTTTTAGGGAGCTGTGTACATTTTTCTGTGGAGGCACAGGGTTAGGACATTATCTCTTCCAAGGATACAAATTTCTCTGCGCATTTATTCCTTGTCTACCAAAAACCTTCTATTTCCTCTTTTAACCTCCATGGTTTCCTGCAAATAGGAAGGCAGGAAGTCTATCATGATGAATGGAGCCACCAGATATGTGCATTCCTTACTGTAAAAGATCACATAGGAATTCTAGCTTATAGATTCCCCAATGTGACCATTCAGACTTTGGGAGCCTGATTCAATTTGAAAGAGTAGATAAAATATAGTTTCTAGAAGTGCCAAGTTGAGGATGAGACCCAAGACCAGGGTGTGGCCACTACCCTGTGAATACTGGGAGGTCCCCCAGCCTCCCCTCACATTTCTCTTAAACTTTTCAAAGTTACCTCCTGGGACCCCAGGGGTGTGAATTCCAAGGGATCTAACAGCTCTGAGATTATAGGCTGAACTTAGGCATCAGAATTGCTAGAGAGCGCTATCTCAGTTCTGAGAAATGGTTAAAACTACCCTTGGCAGTCATATGTGGAACCACTTATTTCATTACGATGGATATTTTCTTGTAGGAACAATGCATAGTGAAAACCCAAAGGGATAACCAACATAAAACTGATTTTGTTTTCTATTTGATATAACAATTGCATTTTACTTGTTTGTTGTATGTACGGGTGAACTTTCTTACTTTTTAAAAACAGACACCCGGAAAATTTTATACATTTTTCCTATAATGTCCTTTAAAGCATGAAACGTGTTTATTATGACAGTGTATACAACTGGTGTTCATGGCCAATAACAATTTTTTTCTCTAGGTTGATGGTCCTTAATAAAAGCATTTTCTCACCTCTTGAGTTTCCACCTCTCTTTCCACTGACTGAAATGGGTTGCCCCCAGCTTGTATTCTTGAAACTGAGACTTCTTTAGTGCAACTCCAGCACCCACCCCACATTGGCAGAGAAGACGGAACACCCTGAGGACATACTGCAACCCCTCTCTGGACCTCAAGTTTCTCCTCCCCTGTCCATCTGTTATTTCTCTCCTGTCTCAGGATGAAAGTGTCCTTTTACTACTTCAGTGCTAACTCATCAACTTGTACTCTTGGTCCCAAAACGCTGGTGTTTTTCTGGCTTACATGAGCTCTTGCATCTTTCCTTCATGGCTGCCTCTCACCCTTCAGGTTTACAAACGTAGTTCACTTCTCTGTGGACTAAAATCACAAGCCTCCACTTTACTTTGGCTCTTGTTGGAGCAACCATCCTGCCTCCTTCCTTCCCATCACAAATGCCCATTGACTCTGCTCCACCTCTCTGTCCACCTTCCGCCCTCGCCACTTGAGGTCACACACATCCAAACCACCAAATCCAAGAGTCCTGGATCCCTAAACGCCGCGGAACCTCTCAGCACATCTAACACCGTTTTTTCTTCTTTTTTCCTCCTGAATCTGGTTCTTTCTTTGAAACCGCACATTTCTCTGACTCATCTACCTTATCTTCTTCCCCTTTCCTATCGAATATGGCCATGTCTGGCTCACCACTCTTGGTGGTCATCGGCTCGATGCTTTGCTGCTCTGCCCAGCTATGCTTCTCCTTCTCAAGGGTGGCGGCTGCCAAATCTGCTGGACACCTCAGTTCTAACTGTCAGCTCATCATTTCCTCCAAGAGACCTCCAAGGCTTTTAAAACCCAGCCCAGGCAAACCCAAACTCATCATCCTGCCCATAGTGCTAGATCTTTTCTGATTGTTTGCTCCATTCAAAATGGGCTCTCCTTTCTTTGAGGATGAATACCGATCTTTAGGGTTGGGCCCCGAGCAGTCATTTGACCTGACTTCCTGGTTACAGTTGACTGGCACAGGGATAGCCACCTGCCTAAAGCTCCTAGTATTTAAGTGACAGAGACAAAGAACTGGATAAAGTCTCAGTAGTGAATGCACTGCTCTGTAAGAGAAAGGTGCATGGGTTCCTGGTGCTGGGGCCCCTTAGAGCTGCCCCACTTCCCATCTTTCTGGTTAATTCAACTCTTCCACGGAGCTTTCATACATGCTAGGAAAGTTCATATATGCCAGGAAAGTCTCTTTTACCTAAGTTTGCTACAGTTGGCTCCTACTTAGAGAACTTTAAGTAGTGGGTCCACTGACACTTGTCACCCAACAATCTCTCATTCTGTCTGAAACCCCACCATGCCCTTCCCCAGTGAGGGCTTGAAATTTGACTCTGACTTTCTGTGCAACCCACATCCAGAACATTCACACCTTGTGTGTTTTGTCTCCAAAATAATCCTCTCCTCCAAGTCCTCTTCTACTGCCCTGGTTCCGGTCTCTGTGATCTTTTCTGGGCCTGTCCAGCTTCTCCAGGCTCCAGTGGTCATTCTGATCATATCACTTCTCTGCCTAACATTTGAGGCAAAGTCTGTAACTTTTACCACGGCATTAAAAACCTTTGTCTGTCTGGCTCTTGGGTGCACAGGGCTCATCATCTGCTATTTCCATTCCTAAGTGCCAGCCAGGCCTGATGGCTGACCTCATCCAAACACTGCCCATGCTTTGCATCTTCCGTGATTTTTGTACAGTTGATCCCTTCTCCCTTTGGCTCTGGTAAAATCTCTCTTCTTTAAGGCCCATCTCCAGTCCTTTTCCTAAGCTAGGGGATAGAGAAACATTCCCTCCCTCTTCTGGGACAGGAGTTCCCTGCTAGACTGGGAGGCCTGGCTCCATGTGATTCCTGGCACTGCTGTGGTTGTTGGTAAATGGATGTTAAGGGTGCAGGACTGTACATCATCCAGTGTCTGCCAGGTCAGGAAAAGGCCTACAGAGAAGAGCCAAAGTCAAGTATTTCCTACTGTCACTGCTTACCGTGCTTTAAGCCAGTATCAGGAAAAGGAAAGGCTGGGGGTGCTGAGTGGTGAATTACATGGACTGTACCCCAGACCTCCAGACTCAGTGTCTGAAAAACAAGATGCTCATGAAACTGGTTTTAGACTCCAAGAAAAACACATTTATATGGCTTATTGTTCATAAAACACTTCCATATACATGAACTGATTGAAATTTTCACTGTGACCCCAGTAAGCAGTTAAAGTTTATGAATATAAGTGAGGAAACAGCCAGGTCAGGGGTAAATCACAGACCTTCAACAGGAAACGGTGTTCCTTCTCTCCACTACCTGCAGTGCAAGTGTTAAAAGACAATAAAAAAGGCTACTGGGGGAGGTCTGAATAAGGCAGGGGATGGTTCTGCTTCTAAAGCGCATGATGGTTTCCCGCCTTTATTGTCACACATATAAGCATCCATCGCCAGCCTAGAGAGGCGAACTACACAGGACAGAAAATGTCACCCTTTCTCCAGAAATACATATTATCCCCAAACGCTTTGATTTGATGTTAAAGTATTTCAGGTTTTCATAAACCTATTTCCCCCATCAACTCCCACGCCTAGGTGCAACCTGGAAAATATTCTGCATGCATGTGTGAGTTTCAGCAGGAGGGGCTATGCATATACACATCCGCATATATATACAGGTTTATTTAAATGATTGGACCTATACTTTTGGAGGCTATTTGATGTATCTTATCAAAATAAAACACGTTTTAAGCAAGAGGTTAAAAAAGCTTTTCAGACCCAAAGGCCATTTAATACAATAAATCCTACTTGGGTAGTTTAGCAAACATTTTTTAAAACCCACATCCAGCAGACTGGTCAGTATTAGATACACAGATTTGGTTTCAAAGCTGAAATATCCCTGGTGGAATAGATCTTCTCATGAAATGCAGTTATTTTATATTATGCCACAAAAATAGGGACACATATCTACTGACGACTTAAATATTAACTCAGTAGGCTACCTGGTGACATAAATAGGAAAAAAACAGTGGTCATGGGTTAGGAGTGAGAAGACTATGACACCAGCCTACCTTGGACTGGGACTGCAAAGGATGTTAAAATCTATCCTAGAATTTAAAACAGGAAAAATGTCAAATATTCCACTCCCCATTCAGCCCAAACCATCCCCCAAGGAATACACCCCCCCCCACCCACCACATGAGGTTTACTAACCTCCTGCTACAGATGTTACTATGTCACTAATTAACAATGATCACAGAAAATGTGTCATACCAGAGTTTTTGTTATCATACATAATGCATTAGTGGCTGCAGGAATCTTCCTCCAAAAGCTACCGTCAGAAGGCAAACTGACAAATGTCCATGCCGCTGGTCCAAGAAACCACAGCTAAGAGCCACGAGGCATTCGTTTATACATTGAGCTCTCTCTGGCATGCTCCCCGCTCTAGTTAGAGGAGCTGGGGTGTGGAGAGGCCGTCCCAGCCGGGCGCTGCAGCCTCCTACTCCTGGGCCTCCTTGCGGGTCAACTTGTAGATCTCAGTGGGTCCGTCCACATGGGTGATAGTGGTGGTGAGCTGGAGTTCTTCCCCACTGTGGACACCCAGATCGCCTGAAACAGGGTTTTCGGTGTTAGATGTGTTCAAGGAGGAAGGCGAAGCAAGTTGGGGTTCATCTCATGGACAACTGCCCTGAGGTTAGCCCTCTTTCACATTCTGAGCACACAGAGAAACCCAGGGCATACAACATTCAGAACAAGGGCTAACTCCCAACCTATTCACTTGGACTTTGCAGAACTTTTTAAAATACCATTTTTGGCTTCCAGACAACAGTCATTAAGATACATGAGTCAGCTCACTGCTGATATTATTCATAGCAATCATTAACATTTAATGAACGTTTACTTTGTGCCTGATGCTATTCCAATCATTTTGTAAGTGATCTTCTTTAATCCTCGCAGGAGCCCTGTGAAGTAGGCACTATGAACGTGCCAGCCTTACGGATGAGGGTGCTGGGAGGTAGGCAAGGTAACTGCCCCAGGTGGAGGGGCAGGCCCATGAGAAAGCTGCAAAGGAATGTCTGATGCCAAGACCCATGTGACGGGCTAAACCAGTGTAACACCTCCCAATGGATGGGTCAGCAAGGCACCAACACATTTGCTGTGAATAATTTACAAAACAGGAGCCAGGTGCAATGGCCCAGGCCTGCAGTCGCACCTACACAGGAAGCAGAGGTAGGAGGATTGCTTGAAACCAGTAGTTTAAGATCACCTTGGGCAACAAGCGAGACCTTGCCTCTAAAACACTGTTGTTTTAATTACCTAGGTGCAGTAACTCACACTTGTAACCTCAGCTATACTCAGGAGGCTGAGGCAGGAGGATCGCTCGAGCACAGGGATTCTAGACTGCGCCACTGCACTCCAGCCTGGGTGACAGTGAGACTACGACTCTAAAAAAATTAACTATAAAGCAGCTGTATCGCTATATCGCGTGGAGGCAATAAGATCTGCCTATATCTATCCACAGATTGCCCAAGGAGCCCTATCTAACACATCTACAAACAATGAGGGGCTTTATTCTCCAGGGGAAAAAAAGTGCCAGAAACGTGCTGTGAATTTCCTGCTGCCCTCAGGATTGCCCCAAGTGTTCTGAACTCCTTATCAGTGGGCAGCTGCTGCTAAAATGAAATAATCTGAACTTTTCTAAATTAGCAGGGAAAAAAATTCTCTAAGTTACACCTCGAATAGCCTGTCACCTGCCATAAGACAATTAAGTGAATGTGTAACTAACAAAGAGAAAATGGAAAACGTAACCACGCTCAGTTCAATTGTGTGTGGGGGTGCATGTGTGCACGTGTGTTTGTGGAGGGGGTACTGGGGAACAGAAAGTTAAACTTGTGTCAGTGATTTTTATATTGTGCACATATCATTTGATTTCATGTTTTCGGGAACGGAAGTTTTTCTAATTCAAGGCATAGAATTAAGTAACTAAATGCTGTTTTCCATGGAAAT